AAAAAGTACACTGACATTTAATTAGGGATTGCATTGAATCTATGGACTGCTTTAGGCAGTATGGTCATTTTTAATGATATGAATTCTTCTGATACATGAGCAAAGGATGTCTTGTCTCTTCTTCAATTTCTTTCATCATTGTTTTATAATTTTCCTTGTAGAGATCTTTCACTGCTTGGTTAAATTTATTCCTAGGTTTTTGTTTGTTTGGGCTTTTTTTTTTTTTGCAGGTGTTGTAGATATGATTCCCTTCTTGAATTTTTTTCAGATATTTCACTATTGGTATATAGAAATGCTGATTTTTTTTTTTGGATGGAGTTTTGCTGTTGTTACCCAAACTGGAGTGCAATGGCATGATCTCGGCTCACCGCAACCTCCACCTTCTAGGTTCAAGCAATTCTCCTGCCTCAGCCTCCCAAGTAGATGGGACTACAGGCGCGCACCACCATGCCCAGCTAATTTTTGTATTTTTTTAGTAGAGATGGGGTTTCACCTTGTTGACCAGGATGGTCTCGCTCTCTTGACCTCATGATCCACTGCCTCAGCCTCCCAAAGTGCTGGGATTATAGGTGTGAGCCACTGCGCCCGGCCAGAAATGCTGATTTTTGTTTGTTTGTATCCTGCAGCTTCACTGAATTTCATTATCAGTTCTAAGAGTTATTGTTGTTGTTGTTGTTATTTTTCTTTGAGACAGTGTCTTGCTCTGTGACTCAGGCTGGAGTGCAGTGGCACAATTTTGGCTCACTGCAACCTCCACCTCCTGGGCTCAAGTGATTCTCATGCCTCAGCCTCCTGAGTAGCTGGAATTACAGGCATGTGCCACCATGCCCAGCTAATTTTTGTATTTTTTAGTAGAGTTGGGGTTTTGCCATGTTGGCCAGGCTGGTCTCAAACTCTTGGCCTCAAGTGGTCACCTGTCTCAGCCTCCCAAAGTGCTGGGATTACAGGTGTAAGCCACTGTGCCTAGCCCTAAGAGTTTTTTCTTGGAGACTTTGGTTTTCTAAAAATAAGAATAATGTAGTCCCCAAAGAGGGTCAATTTGAGTTCTTCTTTTCCAACATGGATGCCTTTTTTTTTTTGCCTGATTGCTCTGGCCAGAACGTCTAATAGTATGTTTAATAGGCACGGGGAAGGTGGGCATTCTTGTCTTGTTCTTAAAGGAAAGGCTTGTAACTTTTCCCCATTCACTCTGATGTTAGCTGTGGGTTTTGTCATATATTACCTTTATTATTTTGAGATATGGTCTTTCTATGCCTAGTTTGCTGAGTTTTTGTCATGAAGGGATGTTCAGTTTTATCAAATACTTTCTCTGCATCTATAAAAATAATCAGGTAGTTTTTGTTCTTGGTTCTGTTAATGTGATGTATCAAATTTACTGATTTGCATAGGTTAAACCATTCTTGCCTCCCTGGTATAAAACCCACTGAATCAAGGTGTATTTTCTTTTTGGTGTGCTGTTGGATGAAGTTTGCTAGTATTTTGTTGAGGATTTTGGTGTCTATGTTCATCAGGGATACTGGTCTGTACTTTTCTATTTGCTGTTGTTGTGTCCTTGTCTAGTTTTGGAATCAGGTTAATGCTGGCCTCAAAGAATGAGTTAGGGAGAATTCCCTCCTCTTTGATTTTTTGAAGTAGTATGAGGGTGATTGGTATTAGTTTTTCTTTATAAGTTTGGTAGAATTTGGCAGTGAATTCATTTGGCCCTGGGCTTTTCTTTATTGGGAGACTTTTTATTACTGATTCAATCTCACTACTTATTATTGGTCTGTTCAGGTTTTCTGTTTCTTCCTTACTCAATCTTGGTCTGTGTCTAGGTTCATGTTTTTGCATTTTGGGGTCCAGTTACTCAAGCACCATTTGCAGAAAAGACCAACTTTTCTCCATTATATTGCCTTTGCTCCTTTGTCAAAGATCAGTTGATTATATTTACATGGGTCTATTTCTGGGCTCTCTTTCCATTCTGTTCCATTAATCTGTTTGTTTGTTCTTTTACCAAACTCACACTGTCTTGATTATTGTAGCTTTACAGTAAGTCTTGAATACAGGTAGTATCAGTCCTTTGACTTTTTCTCCTTCAATATTGAGTTGGCTATTCTGTATCTTTTTCCTCTCTATATAAACATTAGAACCAGTTTGTCTGCCACATTGGTCCCCCAACAGGTTAGGTTCTAGAAAAATACTTTCTCTTTAGGCCAGGCCTTGTTATAAAAAAACCCAGACTGTTCTGACATTCTGTTTCAAATAGTTCCTTTCTGCTCCCACTGCTAGAAGCATGAGGGAATTTTACTCTAACATTTACTATGAAGATCTGGTAGTAGAGCTCCTGGAAATAAAACTCTCAAAAGTGGCAGGGACACCCCCTATGACTCTCAGATTTGTCCATATGGAGCCTCCAGCAATTCATAAACACTGTTTAGGTCATCCTATCCTGGCAATGGTTCCCATGGAGGTTTCTGTTCATGGGTTTCTGTGGTAAGCTGTGATTCTCTGTATCCTCCTGTTTATCTATCTAATATTTGGTGAAGCAGTTTTCTCTATGTCCTTACTTCTCTGATGAACCTAAGAAGAACCAGTGACTTTTCAGTTCATTCGACTCTTTACTTGTTGTTAGGACAAAGTAATGACTTAAGATTCTTACATTGCTGCACTAGAAACTGGAAATCCTACAATTGACTTTTAAATTCCTTTTGAACACAAAGAAACAATAAATTTTGAGATGATGGATATCCCAATTACCCTGATTCGATTATTATGCATGTGTGGCTTTATCAAAACATCATATGTACCCCATAAATATATATAGCTATTATGTACTCATAATAATTAATACTTTTAATATAAATAAAATAACATAGGCACAAAAAACAAAAAAAAAATTTTTTTATAACACTGGACCTTCAAGCAGCATTGTTCATTCCTCCTTTTATGGGTGAAATGATATCCTCTCTTGATATCTATGATACTATATTCTGTTTATTTTTCTCCTCTTTTCCAGCCACTCTTCCTTTTATACCTGACTATGGAGTTTTCCAGGGACCAACCTGGGACCACTTCTCTTCTTACTCCATAGATATTCTTTCCTAGGTGATTTTACCCTTTTCTATGTCTTTAAAAAAATATCTATAATAAAGTACATCTCTTCCCCTGACCTCCAGATTTATAGCCAATGGCCTTCTCAATATTTTCATCTTCGTGCATCCTCAGAACTCCTTTTTTCCTGTCACACTAAATAGCATCTTTATCCATCAAAGATGCTGTTCTTAACATTTCTCTTTCCTTCATCATTTGTATCCAATCTATCAACTCTACAGGCAAAATTATCTTGAATACACGCATATATCTTATCTCTCCTATCAAACACTCTAGTCAAAGCCATGACAATCTTTCACCAAAAATCTTTGTAACTTCCTACAAATGGGTCTCCCTATTCCCACTCTTGCTCCCTTTCAATTTGCTCCCTAATTCCTTATGGTGACAATCTAGTGTAGTAAAAAGAGTATATAGGCTTTAGATCCAGAAATACCTGCCATAATCTCCTCAAAAAAACTGGTGAAAATCTAAAGCTCAGTTTTCTCAGCTATAAAATAGGTAAAAAACAAACAAACACTAACTACTAACCTGCCTGGAATGATATAAAGAAAAGACGTAATTAATGAAAAGCTGAAAAGCCACTCAAAAAGTAGCTCTTGCTACCTACAAAATAAAGTCCCAAATTTTCCCCAAAGACCTCCAGATTCTAGCTGGGCTTGATGGCTCATACCTGTGATCCCACATTTTGGGAGGTTGAGGCAGATGGATCGCTTGAGCCCAGGAGTTCAAGACCAGCCTGAGCAACATGATGAAACCCTGTCTCTACAAAAAATGAAAATTAGCATGTGTGGCAGTGTGTGCCTGTAGTCCCAGCTACTAGGCAGGCTGAGGCAAGAGGATCATCTGTGTCTAGGTAGGTCAAGGCTGCAGTGAGTAGTCAGTAAGCCACTGCACTCCAGCCTGGGTGACAGAGCAAGACCCTATCTCAAAAAAAAAAAAAAAAAAAAATCTCCAGATTCCAAGCCTAACATATGATTCACTAGTAATCTTCAGCATTGTTCAAAGGGAAGTTGGAAAAAATGTAAAGTACACTGGTCCCCCTTACCCACCCACAGTTTTGTTTTCCACAGTTCAGTTACCTGTGGTCAACCACAGTCCAAAATATAAAAAGGAAAGTCCTGGAAATAAAACAATTTGTAAGTTTTAAATTGCACACCATTCTGAGTAACATGATGATAGCATGATGAAATTGTGTGCCATCCCCCTCAGTCCAGTCCACTTCAGGATCAATCATCCATTTATTCAATATATCCATTATAGACATACTACTCGCTCATTAGTTACTCAGTAGATGTCTCAGTTATCAAATCAGAAAAATACAGTATACACAGGGTCAGTACTATCCACATCCACTGGGGGTCTTGGGATGTATCCCTTACAGATAAGGGGGACTACTGTACATTTTCATTCTTTTTCATAAAATTAAATAATCTATTTGATAAACTCCCAAAATACTTTTAATTACTGACTTAAATAGTTGAAAAAGAATTCCTTTAAAGGTGTTAGTTAAGGCTAGGCATAGTGGCTCATGCCAGTAATCCCAGCACTTTGAAAGGCTGAGGTGGTAGGATCACTTGAGGCCAGGATTTTGAGACTAACCTGGGCAATAAGGAAAACCTCATTATCTACAAAAAAAAAAAAAAAAAAAAATTAAAAATTAGCTGGGCCTGGTAGTGCATGCATGCCTGTAGTTCCACTACTCAGGAGGCTGAAGCAGGAGAAAAGCTTAAGCCCAGAAGTTCAAAGCTGTAGTGAGCTATGATCGCAGCACTGAACTTTAACCTAGGTGATAGAATGAGACCGCATTTCTTAACAACAAAAAAAAGTAAATTTAAAGTGTTAGTTAAAAGTATATTCTTTATTAATGAAATTCATTATGATTTATGTAGTTATTCTGCTTCAATACTTGCTTTTTTCTTTGTTTTTTCAGGAGTTGAAGGGCAAGTTTTCTCAGCAAGCAAAATCTCACAAGCTGCATTATCTATAAATAAAAACATAGTTTAGCATTCTACTTATTTCATCTGTCATTAACTATAAGTCCAAAAACTAACAGAATTCAAATTTGACAAAACAGTGTTTTTTAAACCCCCTTATTTTAATGACTGTGACTTTGTTAATAATTAAACAAGAAAAATTTATGTATGTTGAATAATAAAAACATCCCTGTCTTAAGAGCTCCAGGTTTCACAGAAGCAAATAAGATACATATAAAATATTTTCTTTTCAGTTAGTAGGGAAAGTTGTGATTATAATTCTTCATTCATTATCCAACCATTTTCACTCTCCACATTTTCAAGCTCTTTTTCTACTGCAATTTTTTCTTTTTTTTTTTTTTAATTTCAATAGCTTTAGTGGTACAAGTGGTTTTTGGTTATGTGGAAAAATTCTATAGTAGCAAAGTCTCGGCTTTTAGTGTACCTGTTTACTGCAACTTTTCTATCAACATCTTAAACATACTCAAGCCTCTTTCTTCAAAAACTTTTCCTGTACCTCATATCCATCTCCTGCTACAGCCCCTATACCTCTTCTTTCCCGTAGGCACTCTTCAAAGATCTGTCCACATATACTAACTTTATCTCCTCTCCCGCTATTTACTTCCAAATCTAAAGTATCCAGTTTTACTCCTACCAATATCAGCAGAAACTTTTCCTGTCCTACCTCATTGGACCTTAATACAACAGGCTGGAACATTTCCAGCTTGGCTCCTTTTTATGTCTCCTCTTCAGTCTTGAGTCTTCCCTTTTCCTCTTTCTGGACTCAATCTAAGCAACAAATATTTATTGAGTGCTATGTGCCAATTTTGCCTATCACATGGATTTAAAATTGCATATTCAGCTTTTCTTTTTCCTTTTCTTTTTTATTTAATTTATTTATTTTGAGATGAAGTCTTGCTATGTTCCCCAGACTAGAGTGCAGTGGTGTGATCTGGGTTCACTGCAACCTCCACCTCCCAGGTTCAAGTGATTCTCCTGCCTCAACCTCCCAAGTAGCTGAGATTACAGGCATGCACCACCATGCCTAGCTAATTTTTATATATTTTTTAGTAGAGATGGGATCTCACCATGTTGGCCAAGCTGGTCTTGAACTCCTAACCTCAAGTGATCCATCCACTTTGGTCTCCCAAAGTACTGGGATTACAGGCATAAGCCACCATGCCCTGCCCAGCATTTTGTTATTTTTAACACCACTACCTTGAATTAAGGCACCAAAAGATTTTTCTTTAGATTTCAATAGCATTTCAATTCACCTCCCTCTGCAGTCCATTATCCTTGTATACCTAAAATACAAATATTGTTTCCTTAAACTCTTCAAAGTCTTTCCACTGCCCTAAGTTAAACTCAAGCTCCTTAAATTACCATTATAAAGTCCTTTTTACAATCTGTGTATTGCTTACGTATTCCTCAGCCTCACTACAGAGGCTAATAAGGTTGAAGACAAAATACACTATGCCCAGTTAAATGTGAATTTCAGATAAACACTGAATAATATTTTAGTATATCACATTTAATAGCACAAGGATGAGCAGTATTTAGAACATACTTACATTAAAAATTATTTGCTGTTTATTGGAATTCAAATTTGACTGAGCATTCTGTAACTTTATTTTCTAAATCTGTCAACACTAGAGACTAATCACTCCTGCCATATGGATCTTTGAGGGTAAGATGAAGCAGGTGGTTTGAGAGCTCTGTAGGAGACAAAATAAATACTAAGATTTGGAAATAGATTAGATAGTATCCTGAGAAATGATAAAAAAGGAAATGTCAAGGTTGACCCTCAGGTTTCTGGTTTGCTAAACCACATCTGATAACCAAGCTGGAGGATAATAGAGTAGAACCAGTTTAGATCTTGGCTGTGATGATTCTTAGTCCTCAATCCCCATTTTATTTTATACTCTTGATAACCTTTGTCATAGCTGGGATTATTCTGTCCTTAAAACACTCTCCTCTCCTGGCTTCTGAGGCATCATTCTTCCTGGTTTTCCTATTTCAGCACCAGCCACTAGGTCTCAGTTTCCTTTGCTGAATATTTTTCCCTTTTCCTACTTTTAAATGTTGGAGTGTCCTATTTCCATTCACTGTATGTTTTTTAAAAATTATTTTTACCTCCTACATTAATTCATTTAATCCTGTGGTTTCAAAACATCTCTTTGCTGACTCCAAATATGTATCCATAGCCCCAGCCTCTGGCATGAACTCCAGACTCCTCATCATAAACTGTCTTCATAACCCCTCTACTTGAAAGCTAATAAGCCTTTCAGTTTTAAAATATTTTATTGAAGTATACCATAAATATAACAGTCACAAATATTGGTATATACATATTCATCCATGTATCTACCACCCAGATCAAGATATAAAATATCTCCAGCACCTGAGAATTTTTCTACATGTTCTTTCCTTGTTGGCACCTCCTTTCCAAAGACTACCAGTGTTTTGACATGTCACCCTGAATAGTCCTGCCTGTTCTTGAAGTTTATATGTATGAAATTATATAGTATATACATGTTGTAGGTATGTTCTTTCACACAACATTATGTGTATGGTCTGACAGATCAAATTTAATATGTCCAAAAAAATTTCTATTAATGGTTCTTCCAACTTGCTCTGCCCTATAGTGCTCCTATCTCAGTAAATGGTGTCATCATTCATATGATTTCTCAAGAATTTAATATTCATCCTTGACTTCTATTTTTCTCTCTTACCTAATATCCAGCCTAATCACAAATTCCTGGTATACCTGCCTTTAAAATATATTCCAAACCAGACCACTGCTACCACCTTGGTCCAAAACACTATTATCTGATCACTTATAATAATTTAATAAGGTCTTCTGGCTTCCACTCTTGCCTTCTTAGTCTATTTTCCACATAACAGCCCAAATGATTATTCTAAAATATATATCTGAGCCTTTGGAACATAGAAAAGTAACACGTCTTAGAACCTTAGGACCACAGACTCATTGGACCTAGAAACACAGAACTCAAGGGCTCTTAGAAGCTTGGACTTTCTCCAGCTTAGCGCTTGGTCCTGTGGAGTAATGGATAAAGCAAAAAGAATAGGTGAAACACAGTGGTTTTTCAGATATTATATTTAGATTATTTTACATCTTACTACAACATTTATGAATATCCTAAAATGGTAATGTCCAGTGTTGTAGTTACTGACCTATGGGGCTATTTAAATGTATTAAAATGTAAACTAAAAAAATATATATCTGATCATGTCATCCCTCTGCTCTAAGATGATCTAAGATGTATTTCTCAGTACATTTAGAATAAATGGAGGAGTGCATTGTAGGGAAGGTGGGGGTGGATAATGGGTATTTAATTGTACATTTAAAAATAACTAAGAGTAGACTGGATTATTTGTAACACAAAGGATAAATGCTTGAGGGCATGGATACCCCACTTACCCTGATGTGATTATTATGCATTTCATGCCTGTATTAAAATATCTTATGTAAGCCATAAATATATATACCATCTATGTATCCACAAATATTAAAAATAAAAAATTTAAAAAAGAAATGTGTAAAAAAACCTCTAGAGCAAGAAGTGAACTATTTAATTTTAAATTTAAAATTACCACACAAAAGTAAGAATACAAAAACATACAGAATTCAAGAATCACTATTCTGCCTACCACCAAGCTTTATAAATATTTTCCATAGCAAAAGGAACACTTTTTATTAGGAAAAACCTAGGTAAAATCATGGTTGTTTTTGGTACCCTTACCACTTTCCCTTTAATTATCGCTCATCTGTTATTGACACATTCCCTTATTCTTTGATCTATAAAACAAATCCTTCTTCTAATGCTAATCCTCCAGGGTAGAAGGCATTACTCCTTCCAAGGATTTTGTGCTTTTACAAGATTAGTTTTTATCACTAGACTAGTTTTGCTTAGAACAGAAAGCATATTAATTGTCTTATACCTATATTTCCTAACTTAATGTGCAGCACTTTGTAAATGCTCATTAAGATACCGTCTTAAAGTGAAGATTTTGCACATACACATGCATACAAACATTTACAACCATCAAGAGCAAAATCAGTAATTCTTCAAGTTTACTCTCAAATGGATGTTATAAAACTTGATACAAGAAATACAGAAAAGAGAAATCTGAGATATAGCAGAGGTTAATAAGGATGTAAACATCTTGCTAAATTTATTCCAATAGTAAATTCCATAAGACAGGGTTAATAATGCAAGACACTTTGCTGATCCCTTTATTTTTCAATCATTATGCATAACCATAATATATCTGTTTACTTACTGTCCTCTCCTACAATTGAAACTTACAAGGGTAGGAAAAGTGTATCACCTCCCACTAGTATACATAACAATGTCTAGTACAGAGTTTATGTTCACTAAATGTTTATTAAATGAATAAATGATTGATGCTGTGGAGATAGCTAAGACCCACTTTCTAATCCCACATATCTTCATTTCTTAAATACAATCAAGCTAAAAAGTACTCAGTTCACCAAGCTACTAACTTCGTTAATGCATGTTGCATGTAGCAAAAATAAATACAGAATCATTTATTTTAATAGAAATATTATAATTACTACAGAAAATAGTTTCATTATTTGTTACCTGATTCTGAATTTGAAGCACACTTTGTTTTTGGAGAAATATTTTTATCTTCTACTGTCATCACTCTAAAACAAGAACAAACTAATCAGTAGTATTTCTAAATCTTGCCTTTCAAAAATCCTCAAATAATATTTAAAATAAAGATATTTATATGTGATTAATTATCCTGTGGGAAAATATACAGTTGATTAGAAAATGTTACCATATTTATATAAACAAATAGTTTAGTAAAAAAGACAATAATACATTTTGTACATTTATCGGTGTAAAGCAATATGTATAATATGTATAGAGGACATAACATAGTGTTTAGAATAAGACAGACCTTCCTTTAAACCCCAGTTCCACTACTTACAATTGAGTAGCCTCTGAAAAGCTACTTAGCCTGTCTTGAGTCTTGGTTACCTCGTTTATGTAAAAGGGATAGCTATCTAGTTTCTTAAGATTCTTGTTGAAAGACTTTTAAGATACATGAGAGATTGATGATGATTATTATGATTATTGATAGTCTTGCTTTGTTACCCAGACTAGAGTGCAGTAAAAGATTTTTTTTTTGAAATTAATATCCTGGGTTTTTTTGATACTTCTACAAATTAGACCACCTCCAATTCTATCTAAATGTGTAGGAAAGGACTGGCTATCACAAGAGGAATAAATACCAAAGGATCAAAGCTCAGCCTTTGACCAAAAAAATGGGATTTCTGAGTCCCTAGCAAGAAAATGCAGTTGAAACCAAAGGTGAGAAGGGGATTTTCTAAATTCCTATACCGATTAATTGAATAGTTGAACTCAGTAAACAGATATAATTTTATTCTTTCATATTTCCCTTTAAACACATCCTGTCAAAATACTACTTTCTTGCCTCTGAATGAACTTTCAGGGTAGATTTCTTTTTACTAATGACTTTCTGGCATTCTCTTATAATAAGTAGTTATTTTTAGGTAACACAAAGTTCAGTGTAATATCACAACTCCAAACTCTTCTTATCTAATTTAAATTTTTTCCTTTTCTCAGCTTGGGCTTGATTTAGACTCAGAATATGCTGTAGGAAGAGCAACCACCACTGCTCTTGTCTCTATTTCTTGTTCTTTTCTCTTACCTATTTGGAAGTAACTCTTCTGGTTCCTCTGGCAGTGAATTACAGTGAGTTCTAGAAATGCACAGGAAAGGTCTTTCTCAATCTTGACTGATACTCTTATGTGCCATTGGTATCTCAGAGGTATGAAAGATAATCAAATGCAGACTCTTTCAAACTTGAAGTATTATGAAAAGTTCTTTGGAGGTTTACTTATCACTGGGGCTCTCTCACTTGCTGTTTTGTATTGTCTCCTCAGCTTTTGCCTTTGATGAGAGAACACCCAACCACTTTTGAGTGAGGTTACTTCATCCTTTGCAGGAAGTCATATTGGGAATAATCCCTTTCAAGATTATCCATAATTATTCCCCTTCTATGGAATCCATATTTGACCTATAGGCACTATGCACAAATCTTTGTCATGTCAAACTCTTAAAGTATATCTAGCTTCCTCTTTATTCCACCATTCCAAAGCACTTAATAGATTCTGTTGCCTTTAGAGTTATCAGGTATGAGTCAGAAACTAACTCCCAGGAACATATGTTGAACCTTTCAAATGGTTCTCTTGGAGATTCCTCGCTGGTGTTAAGGTGAGGGGGAAGTCTCCTCACTCCCTCCATATGACACCAATAATAGCTCTTATCAAAGAAATAGGCATTCTTGGACTTTGCATCCTTTCCATGTATTCTTAGCCTTTTCTTAGTTTGGAGATGAGTAATGAGCGAATGCTGGTAGAATTGGATTTTGATCTCACCTTTTACAAACTCCACATAGATAATTCTACACAGAATAAGGAATGGGTGTACTTGACAACTATTTGTTTTCATCTGTAAGGTCATTATCCAAACTCTAAGACACCGTGAAAACCACATTTAACATTCTGCTACATTCCTCAAGTTCCTATTAGCATATGTAAGTTAAAACACAACTACAGAGTTCTACTATTAGCCACTGCTATGGTTTGAATGTTTGTTCCCTCCAAAATTCATGTTGAAATTTAATTTCCAATGTGGGAATATTGAGAGACAGGGCCATTAAGAGGTAACTGGATCATGAGGGCTCTGCCTTTATAAATGGATTAAACCATTCATGGATTAATGGATTAATATGTTATCATGGGAATGCTATGATTGGCTTTACAAGAGGAAAAAGACCTGAGCTACTGTGCTCAGCCCCTTTGCTATGTGATGCTCTTTGCCACCTCAGGACTCTGCAGAGTCCTCACCAGCAAGAAGATCCCCACTAACTGCAGCCCCTTGACTTTAGAATTCTTAGCCTTTGTAACTGTAAGAAATAAATTCCTAGCCAGCCATGATGACACGGGCCTATAGTCCTATTTACTCAGGAGGCTGAGGATGGAGGATCACTTGAACCCAGGAGTTTGAAGATACAGTGAACTAGGATAGTGCCACTGCACTCTACCCTGGGCAACAGAGTAAGGCTCTGTTTCTTTAAAAAAAAAAGAAAAAGAAAAAGAAATAAAGTAATATAGGAAGAAAGGAAGAAAAATAGACGGATGGAAGGAAGGCAGAGATGTAAGGAGGGGTGGAGAGAGAGAAAAAGAAAAGAAAGATAAAGGAAAGAAAGATTAGAAAAAGAAAGGAAAGGAGAGGACTCAAGATGGCGCAGTGAGAACAACCCAGGATTGAAGCTCTAGGTGAATGCGCGGACAGGGTGAGTCTGGGCCACATTTCCACACGGATCTTTGTTGTCCACAGAATGAGGAAATTCCCAGGTATAAGAGAGACGCGGGATGCCAGGCAGAGGTTTTGGCTGGTGCAGCCGGCAGCTGGTGCAGCTGGCGGCCGGCGATGTAGCGCAGTGGTGCTACACAGCGCTCCGCACAAAGTGCACTGGTCTGGGTGCCCTGTTGAACCGGCAACCTGAGACTTGAGAGGGCTGAACTTGAGACTGCATGGGACTTGGACAGTGAGCGAGCCCAGGAATTTCCAGGAAAACAGCGTTTGGGGTAGTGCAGTGGGACAAACAAAATGGCAATTCCAAACGCTCCCGGGGGAGAGGTTCCCTTAGGGCACAGCTGAACCCAGTACGGTGCAGCTCCATGGGGGAGGGTCGTCCACCATTACCGAGGCAATCCACCCCTACTGAGGTACACACCCATTGCTGATGCAGCCTGCCGTTGCCGAGGCAACCCGCTACAACAGAGAGACTCCGCCACAGGGCATAGCCTGTGGCAGCAGGGTGGAGACCGCAGCAGAAGGGCAGAGCCTGCAGCACCAGGGTGAACCTGACACCAGCAGAACGTAGCCTCGGCAGGCAAATAGTGACTAGACTGCCTCCTAGCTGGACAGGACAGCACAATGGACACTCACAAAGAAAGCCCCAACCCCCGAGACAGAGCATCTGAGAAAAAAAGGGTTTTTTTAATGAGTTCTGTTGCAGCAGAATTAAATGTAGCAGCCTAACAGCCCTGAATGAAAAACAGAGCTCACAGCTCAGCACTTGAGCTCCTATAAAGTACAGACTGTCTCCTCAAGCAGTTCCCTGACCCCTCTATATCCAGAAGACTGACATTTGGCAGGCATCATTCTGGGACAAAGATAGCAGAAAAAGAAACTGGTAGCATCCCTCACTGTTCCACAGCTGCTATAGGTGCACCCCAGACAAGCAGGGCCTGGAGTGGACCTCAGCAGTTGTACAGTGGAGGGGCTAGACTGGTAGAAGGAAAACCAAGTAACAGAAATATTTCATCATCAACAATCTGGGCGTCCACTCAGAGGCCCAATCGAAAAGTCAGCAACTACACAGACGACAGGTGGATAAATCCACAAAGATGGGAAGAAACCAGCGCAAAAAGGAGGAAAACACCCGAAACCAGAATACCTCGCCTACTAGAAAGGACCGAAACTCCTCACCAGCAAGGGAACAAAGCTGGACAAAGAATGACTGTGACAAAATGATGGAATTAGACTTCAGGAGATGGATAATGAGAAACTTTTGTGAGCCAAAAGAACATGTTTTAAATCAATGCAAAGAAACTAAGAACCTTGAAAAAAGATTCGAGGAAGTAATAACTAGAATGGATACCTTAGAGAGGAATATGAATGAATTAAAGGAGCTGAAAAACACAATACGAGAACTTCACGAAGCATGCACAAGTTTCAACAGCTGAATTGACCAAGCAGAAGAAAGAATATCAGAAGTCGAAGATCAACTCAGTGAAATAAAATGAGAAACCAAGATCAGAGAAAAAAGTGCAAAAAGGAATGAACAAAGTCTCCAGGAAATGTAGGACTATGTGAAGAGACCTAACCTATGTTTGATAGGTGTACCAGAATGTGACGAAGAGAATGAATCCAAGCTGGAAAATACTCTTCAGGACATTATCCAGGAAAATTTCCCCCACCTAGCAAGACAGGCCAACACTCAAATGCAGGAAATACAGAGAACACCACAAAGATATTCTGCAAGAAGAGCAACCCCAAGGCACATAATCGTCAGATTCAACAAGGTTGAAATAAAAAAGAAAATACTAAGGGCAGCCAGACAGAAAGGTTGGGTCACCCACAAAGGGAAGCCCATCAGACTCACAGCAGATCTCTCAGAAGAAACACTACAAGACAGAAGAGAGTGGGGGCCAATATTCAACATCCTTAAAGAAAAGAACTTTCAACCCAGAATTTCATATCCAGCCAAACTGAGCTTCATAACTGAAGGAAAAATAAAGTCCTTTGCGAACAAGCAAGTACTCAGAGATTTTGTCACCACCAGGCCTGCTTTACAAGAGCTCCTGAAAGAGGCACTACACATAGAAAGGAACAACCAGTACCAGCCATTCCAAAATCACACTAAATGCTAAAGAGCATCAACATAATGAAGAATCTACAACAACTACTGGGCAAAACAGCCAGCTAGCATCAAATGGCAGTATCAAATTCACACACAACAATATTAACCCTAAATGTAAATGGACTAAATGCACCAATCAAAAGACACAGACTGGCAAATTGGATAATAATCCAAAACCCA